ATATTATGATATTTTAAAGTACATTAATGCAACGTTGGTACAATTTGTGAAATTCAGAACCATCAAAGAAGAGTTTCAGATGAAAACTTAATCCTACTTTCTGCCTTAGTGTCATACAGGAAACTCATACTGGATTATGAATTATATTAGATAGAGGCTCAGGGAAATGGCCTCTGTTCATGGCCGGTCATTAGCTGCCTTGATCCTAAAACCCAATGCCACTCTTTAAAATCCTGAATCCTTCTGACAAGGTCCACAAAACAAAACAAAACAAAAAAGCACCATCACCACCTACAAAAAAAAAAACCAAACCAAACCAAACCAACACAATCATCCTTTTTTTTTTGAAAAGATGAGACGTTCAGTTTTGGAAGCAGACATTTTTCACAGAGTGAAAACATTTTTTGCACTTCTCCTTCTCATTTTATTATCCTTGTGCTTGTGCATAATCTCCATTTTGTTCTCTTCACTAAAGAATTATTTTCTGCCTTGTGTCCAGTTTGTGTCTAATATTCTTTTAATACAGAGAGTTCTGTCTTAAACCTCAACTTTGAGATCAATCTGATAGGCTTTTCAAGAAGCTACTGTCCTGCTCATTCCACTTACTCTACACCTCAATTTATATATTAACTTATATATTCTGATAGACACATTGATTTGTTTCAATGTAGAATAAAACAAATCAGTCTCAAGACTCTGTATTAAACCCGCGGCTGAACAAAAATGAAATCAACCCAAACTGTTCAAGACCAATTGGATTGCTCCACTGGGTCCATTTGGTCTTGCTCCTCACTGCTGGTTATTGATTCCCTTCTAAAGATAGCAACTTTCACAGTCAAAGGAGCAAAACAGAAACTAAACCTTAGGTGTTACAGTTGAGTATTTCAGAGTACAGAGAGTTTCAAATGTCAGTGTATCAGAAGGGAACAACACAGCTCTTCCCTCTCCTTCCCATTTGCACACTCCTGCTTTCTATCATGCATCTATCATAGATCTGTGCAGTCACAAGCTGAGCTCGTTCAGACTTGCAGTCCACTTCACTCTGCAAATGGAAAGTCACTAGACTCACTGCAGCAATCAGGATGAGAAAGTGCAAAATGAGAATCCTTTTAGCAAAAGCCTGTAGTTATATTGATTAAAGGAAACTATCCTCAGTGCAAACCTACTCTCATGTTCATTTCATAATCCTTCTGAAGATCTTTGCTATGCTTCAGAGTAAACTGTTTTTGTTGTTATTTGTTTTCATAAGTGCCTTAATCACACTGCACGTAAAAACAATGGAATCATGGTAATTTTGCATTTATAAAAGGTTAATTCCTTTTCCACTTTAAAAAAAGCTTTTTGGTGCTTTTTTCACAGTCATTATCGGTGTACCAAAAACTAAAACTTTGCTACACAAAAAATCTCTAAGGATCTGCGTGACCTTTTTATTTTGCAAAGAGATAAAATGAAATCTAGTAAATGATATGGAATAAATTCTCAACATATCTATCTAAATACTTGATTCAGTGACAGAATTATATACTTTATAGCACAGCAGGAAGGAGTTATCTAATTCTTGACAATTTTCATATTTGAAAAATCATAGCTGCCAGGTGAAGTGCCTAGTGACTGGAAAAAGGGAAACATCACTCCCATTTACAAGAAAGGGAGAAAGGAAAACACAGGAACTACAGGCAGATCAGCCTCAAGTCTACAGGCAGATGAGCCTCAAGCCTCAAGTGCCTGGGAAGGTCATGGAACAGATCCTCCTGGAAGACATGTCAATGCACATGAGGGATGAGCCAGCATGGCTTCACAAAGGGAAGGCCATGCCTGACCCATCCGATGGGTTTCTATGATGGAGTGACAGCATCGGTGAACAAAGGGAAGGCCACTCACGTCATCTACCTGGACTTCAGCAAAGCCTTTGACATGGCCCCCCACCACACCCTTAACACTAAATTGAAGAGATATGCATTTGAAGGGTGGACTACTCAGTAGATAAGGAATTGGTTCAAAGGTCACAGCTGGACTACTGTGTTCAAGGGCTCTACATCCAGGTAGAGGCTGGTAATGAGCGGCATCCCTCAGGGGTCCATCTTGAGACTGGTACTCTTTAATAACTTTATCAGTCACACACATGATGGGTTTGAATACACTCTCAGCAAGTTTGCTGATGACAGTAAGCTGAGTGATGTATTTGATGCAGCAGAAGGAAGGGATGCCATCTAGAGAGACCTTGGGAAACTTGAAATATGGGTCTTTGTGAACCTAATGAGGTTCAACAAAGAAAACGTGAGGTTTTGCATTTGGGTCGAGGTAATTCCAGATACATATACATACTAGAAGAGGAACTCCTTGTGAGCAGCCCTGCTGAGAAGGACTTGGAGGTCCTGGTTGATGAAAAAGTGCACGTGTCAACAGTGTGTGCTTGCAACCCAAACGGCCAATGGTATCCTGAGTTCCATTCTGATGGAATCAGAATGGTGGGGTAGCCAGCAGGGTGAGGGAGGTGACTGTCCTCCACTGTCCCTTGTGAGGACCCAGCTGGAATACTGAGTCCAAGTCTGGTGCCTCCCAACATGGGAAAGATTTGGAGCTTTTGAAGAGGGTTCAGAGGAGGGCCATGAAGATGATCCAAGGAATGAAGCAGCTCTCCCATGAAGACAGGCTGGAAGAACTGGGCTTGTTCAGCCTAGAAAGGAGAAGGCTGCACGGAGACCTCATTGCAGCCTTCCAATATTTAAAGGGAGTTTATAAACATGAGGGAAATCAACCTTTTATTCAGGCAGAAAGTAATAGGACAAAGGGGAATGGTTTTAAACTAAAGAAAGGGAGATAGATAACATACAGGGGGAAGTATTTTACTGAGAGAGTGGTGAGGTGCTGGTACAGGTTGCCCAGAGAGGCTCTGGATGCCTCATCCCTGGAGGTGTTTAAGGCCACAGTGGATGGGGCCCTGGGCAATCTGATCTAGCGCCTGATCTAGCAGCTGGAGCTCTGCCCACAGCAGGGGGGTTGGTACTTGATGATCCTTGAAGTCCCTTCCAACCCAAGCCATTCCATGCAATCCTATGATTCTTCTGCTAGAAATGAGAATGCAGACGTTCCTTTCACTACTTCATTAGAAGCTAACTACTAAGGGTTCACACTTCTATTTGTCCCTAAGATATCTATCAAAAACAAAAACTCACTTCTTTGGCACTCCTTTTTATTCCCTGCATATCGCAACAGCCAATGCAAAATTCACACCCAAGTAAGAACAAACAGGACCACGCAAAATCATACATAACCCCTCCTCAACACAATGATCTAATTCTACATACCCTTGCTCTTTTGTCACTTACTACACTGAATCTTTCATATTCCTATGCAACACTGCCCTCTCTAATTAAAATTCCCAGTTTCACCTGTCCCTGTTGGTGAAAGCTTGGACTATAAATCAAAGAAGAAACACTGATGAGAAGTGCTTCCTGTTATTACAAAGAGTAAAAGGAAGAAACTGCATAACACTCTACTCTTACAAATCTTTGATGACACGTTTCTGATAACCACACAAATACAGGTCGCAGGAAAACTATCTGGAAAAATCAGGAAAACAAAGGAAGTCATTCTGCAACACTTTTGGAAGCAAATAAGTTTTCAATAGTCCTTTAGTAGAGATTAATATGCAGAAATATATGTATAAATTACATTGAATTACAAATTACAGAATTTTCAACCACACAGCTGAACTTCCCAGCATATTATGAAACTCTCTAAAAGATGAAAGCTTCCTTTTTCAGAAATACAGACTCCTAAATTTAGATTCTGTGACAGAAAGAACATGGAGATAAAGAGTATTAAGTGGAAGAAAGGATAAAGGAGCAAAGATGTTGAATGGAAGGAGATAAAGCTACATATTACAGAAACTGAAAAAAGGCAAATAGTAAGTAATTTCAAGTAAAAGAGAAGAAACAAAGTTATATTGACACAATTTCTAAATGATTAGTCAGAAATTGTTGCCTTTTAATCAGACTTTGAAATCATGAAATATAGGAATTAATTAATATATTTTTGGTATTATGATATATAAAAACATGCCTTTTTATGCACCTCATCATGTCTCACTGCCATGGGCACACACCAATTGCCCATAGGGTAGAGCAGCCCCACCTTTGCAAACCTTTTCTCTCACCCACAGTCCCCGTTTGCCCTCTTCCCTTTACACTATTAGAAAATCAGAAACAAATAAAATATTTGAGAACATTATTTGTATGAAATGTAAAAGCTTTCTATTATTAATGATTTTTATGAATGTATAGTTTACAATACTTAAGCTAAAAAAAGTAGAGATGAATATCTAGAAATCAAGCTGCTAATTCCTCTCTTCTTTTTTCTCCTGCTTTCTGTACTACTTCAGCCTTTTCCCAAGACTTACTGTTCCAGTGTGAGCCCCACAGCAAATTTTTCATCCCACTGTACTTAAACTGCTAAAGAACCAGTGCTCATCTTTAATTTTTGGTTTGGATTTTTTTTTTTCTGAATATTTCTAGTAACACACCTCAAATCCTATCCTTACTCTGTCTTTAGAGTAAGAAACTTCATACTTAGGCACTTTTATTTTTGAAAGTAAATAGTATGCAACAGCCATACATTAAAATGTCTGGTTTCACTTAAACTTTGATTGTGTTTTTGCAAAGCAGAGAGGCTAGAAAGCAATACTCATTAACAAGCACCAGTATGACTGAGTGCAGTTCATTTGCTATTCCACATTACAGTCTAGAGCAAACATCTCCAACTGTGGGATTGAACACATCCCTGGAGGTGTTCACCCCATCCTTTCAAGGGCAGGCTTGATGGGTTCCTGAGCAGTCTGACCTAGTGGCTGGTAGAGGGTGTTGGAACTAGATGATCTTTGAGGTCCCTCCCAACCCAAGCCATTCTGCGACTTTATGATTTATCCATTACTGCCAGTTTTAAGATGCAGCACTACTTATAATAAACGTTAAATTGAATCTGAAAGGACTTAAACTTACCTTTAAACTGGACTCATAGTCTGTGTTCACTTTGAACATAAGTCCAAGTCGCAAATGAATTTCCTTGGCTCGACAAAAGCTGGGATCAACATAAAGCGCCTCCTGAAATGCTTTAATTGCCCTGAAAGACAAACAGATAAAAATATTAATTATTTTTTACTGAAGTATTACTTTCATAGTTGCTAATCATTTGATGACTTAAAATTGAATCAGAAAGAATTGTTACTGAAAAACATATTGACGTAACAGTTTAAATGTTTTTGCTCCATTGCTTTTCATTCTTCAAGGGCTGGTTAATTTTGCACTCCAGACATCTTAATATATTTGAGAATCTAATCTTTTCATTTAACTTAACGCCTGAAACACAGTAACATATCTGCTATTTCAGAAAGGATGATTCAGGAATAAATAACAAAACAAAGTATTGGACACAGTCATCATCCCTTTCAGAACTAAATCCTTGCCAGGTTTTTCCAATTGCAGATGACATGGATCCCCGAGAGCAGCAGCAGAATGTTAGGCCTGGAAGATCACACATATCTCCTCTCACTGCCCAAACCTGTTCCATTTTCAGTGTTGTTACCCCTTTTCTTAGCACTGACACCAATGTAGAGACTCACCTAATACCTATTACTTCCTTACATTCCAGTCACTTAGCTTCCTCCAGGAAAACACAGACTGGACAGAATGCCACCTCCTGTCACCATAACTTGCTTTTCATATTCCCATGATAGCTGAAGATGGTTCTGATTTTTTAGCTTTAAATCCTTTTTATAGATGCTCCTGTCCATGCTGACACAGTGCCAGACAAAACAAAAGCACTACAGACCAGCTGTATGTCGGGGAAGAAGTACAACTCTGAACAAGATTGACACTGTGTGTTGCTTCTCAGGCCAATTGCATAAAATTAGGACAGCTGAAATGAAGCTAAAAGGTAACAGATTTAAATTCAGAAGAATTCAGAAAGAAGCTAAGACTCCTCATGTTAGCTCTCCTGAAATCAAGTGACTGGCTAAAAAGAAAAGATCCTGAAATACATCACAGCCCATACAATGGCAGAAATCAGAAACCTGTCATGCTTAGGGTAGGATTCAAGCATCTGTGCCAAGGAGACTAAGTCTCATTCTGTATGCTCCAGGCAATCACACTGGGCAAGGCTGGAGGGAGATCTATACTCTCTGTGGAGCAGCACATGGATGCTGGACAGAACATATACAGTGTCAGAAGTCACATTATGGTCGGGAAAATTGATTTAATTTCCAATCAAAGCATCCTGTTATTTCTAAGGACAAAAGTTGCAAGAAATATTTTCACAGGCTTCATTAACAAAACACATAAGTTTGCTCTTGAATTCATCAGCAGAAACGCTCCTGGTCTAAATATCTTACAGGCACTTTTCTCATTCTTGTTGTCAGAACACACTGACAGTGCAGAACTTCCTCTGGACAATACAACAGAAATGTATGTACATTGTAAAGCATTATCCTACTCGCTAAAATACAGCTTAAGAACAGACCAATTTAAAGAAAAACCTGTATTTTCACTGTGGAACAGAAGCGGTGTACAGTCAGAAAAGTTTACCTCACCTTACACCCTACTTTTCTCTTTACACAAGGAAAAAGAGCAAGTAAAGCACAAAAGGGACAAAATTGACATTAGTTAAGCTGTTTCTCACACCTTGTTTAAGCTTCATTTGAAATACTGTGAGTGGTGATGAATGACACACCTTAGTAACTATGCTGAAATCATAACTAACAGGAATCCATTTCTTATAACAGTATGCCTACCATTATCTAAATGAATACAATTCAAACTGGAAGGCCAAACACAGAAATGATCACTGGATTTTGGCTTAAAAACGCTTGTAGATTCTATTACCATTTTAAGCTATGCGTTTATTACACAGAGAAGTAGGTATTTATTATTGCACACCTGCATTTCTTAACTTTAATATAGTATTCAGACTCTTAGCCACTGGTATTTAAAAATCCATTCAAAGACAGAATGCCAAGGTAAGTGCAGTCCCTATCAAATACAGAATAAATCTGCAAAATTAAGACGTTGCTGGTTTATACACATGTGGAATTGTAACCCTGCTCACATACACTCTGTCCTCCTCCCAAGCCCACAGGCAAAAAAGATGGGTCTGAAGGATCCAAGGCATACAAGTTGCTGAGATGTTTTCCCTCAAAGCTCTTCACTGGTACCAAAACCAAAGAGGTGATATAAGCCAACAGCCTGATGAGCTGTCACACATTGAACAGGACAAGGCTTGAGAGAAAACAACTTCTTTCAGAGATGGCAAGAGAGCCATCTTCAAATCGGCTGTTAGACTCCACCTCTTACTAACTAGCCTTCATGCACAGACAGAGCTTCCTACTTCAACCCAAAGGCTGAATAAGAATTGAATTTGATTTATCCAAAGGCTAAATCAGAACTGAATGTCTGGGAGCTCTCAGGTTGCAGAAATAAACAACAGTGGTCTAAATTACCCCTAAATTACCTGAAAATACTTCAGGTTGTTCTCTATAGACATTGGTCAACCAGTTGTTAAGAAACAACTTTGGTTAAATCTTCTGTAATTTATTTCAATTAAATTAGAGTTTTCAACAAGAACAGAAGAGTTGCCATTAACGAGCAGGAAAGGTTAACTAACATTAGACAAAAGGAGAAAGCAGGACTGGAAAACAGACACTACAGAGCATTAAGTGCACCTCTGGGCTTACATTGTGTACAGCACTGCTACACAAATTCAGGCAAAAAAAAAACATGACACAAATCTATCATCTCCAAATCAAGACTTTCAAAATCAATGCTGCAGCTATCTTCCCACCCACTCACCTATACAACAATACCTCTCACTATGAAAGTGAAGAAAGTAGCTGAAGAATAATTAATAGAATATATTAAAGATTCAGTGAACTCTCATAAGACTTTCTGGAAAGTTTGACTTGCATTGATTGTGAATATAATCAGATCTGAACCAGGCAAAAGAATATTACAAAATAGCATCAATTAACAGTTTCAAAGTTAACACACGTACACTTCTAACAAAATACATTGAAAACAGAATAAACGTACAAAACGTAAGATTCTACTTAATGAAGTTGGAGTGAACTTTTGTTCTCTTTCAGTGTTTTGATCACCTGTTCCAAGCGTAACTAATAAAAATGTCATGACACATGGACAAATTTCTGTTTGAAATTCACCAAAGCAATTTGAACATAAACAAAACCTACAAATACAGAAGTAATCATCACTGCAATTTTACAGAATGCTTTAGCAGACCTCAGATATAATAATTCTCTGTTTATTATGCCCTAGCAATCGAATGCCGAAACATCTTGAGCAGCAGTCTCCAAAAATTTATATATAGCAGTAGCTAAGACTGTCTTTCTGATATTAACAGATACTGTGCTTTTTCATCAGTCCAAGAAGCTGGTTTTATATACAATCACAGAAAGTGGAGAAACAAAAGAGAAAAGCAATTGCTACTTTGTTAACGGTCTACATATATATTTTCATTTTACATATACATAAAAGGGATATGTAGACCTAGCCACCAGAAAACTAAGCACTATTTTAACAATTCAGTATCTACACAGAGCATGTTTAAACTCTACTCTCCTGACTGATGTAACTGCACACTGGAACAACCAGAACTGTGATAGAAGAAAGAGGGAAACACAGATACACATATGCACATTAAAGATAACAGGTTATTGGTAAAAAAAACTTTGTTTTTTACTCTCAAATAACATCCCTCATGGACTTTCCCGAAGCAGGTGTTTTCAAAGCAGGAACTCCACAGTGGACTGCAAATTACCAGTGCATTTTCAATGTCAATTAGGCAAATCTCAGCATCTCCCATGCAAACTGCAGCCACTGGATGATTTCATCACATGCTATGCCCTCCATAATGGTACAAACTATTGACGTACCTGGAGGTGTACAAATGCTGTATATGATCAGGCAATCCAGTGGCTCCTGTTTGCACAAAAGAGTGGAGTGCTCCCATTAAAGTTAAGGAGGCCCCCAGAAGGGGGTTTGCATTCCTATGCACACCAGTCTGTGTGGAAGAGCCCAGTCCCCTGGATCTTCCCAGAGAAGTGGTGGAGTCACCATCCCTGGAGGAGCTCAAGAAACATTCAGATGTTCCACTAAGGGACTTGGTTTAGTGGGAAATATTGGTGATAGGTGGATGGTTGGATTGGATGATCTTGAAGGTCTTTCCCAACCTTGGTGATGCCATGATTCTATTATCTGCCAACCCCTGACACAGACAGCTTGAGAAGCATCCGAAGGATCTGGTCCTGCTGAAAAAACATTAGCAATCCCTCTCAAGCATAAATCCTCCTATGTTAATAACAGCTTATCACTGAAAATGAAAAACGTTTTGAGAGATGAAGCAGAAGCACAAAGAATGGACCTTATCAGCACAAGCCTCTCACTGTCACAGGCAAACAGTGACTGTCATGAAATAACAGTTTCTTGCACAGATGAACTTGGAATACAGCAGCGAAGGTTGGACTAACGAGACTAATGAAAAAATTTACATTCCCCTGCAGACTTGAGTACTTTAAAAATACTCTAATAGGCTGTTTTACTTTTTCAAATGACTGTCAGAACAGAAAAACTCCACTTTCTTTAATAATAACATTTAAAAAAAAAAAAAAAAAAAGATGAAACAATGACAATCTCTCTCACATACATTATCCAGCAATTTGCAGGGTAACAGTCACTGAAAACACTGCAGACTGGCCTCAGAGAACCTCAGTTTATGTTCTGGAATCCAAAGAGCATGCTAGAACCAATTCCAGGACACAGTTGCAGAGCTTCATTTTTTTCTGTTGGTGGGTTCAACATAAAAAAGCAAATGATAAACCAGTCAGGTTCAAAATCCTTACTGAGTTAAAAGAGCCAATCTGGCATCCAAGCCATTACATAGACTGTAGCTACTGTGAGATGATAGATTTGTGTCATGTTTGTTTTTTTTTGCCTGAATTTTTGTAGCAGTGCTGTACACAATGTAAGCCCAGAGGTGCACTTAATGCTCTGTAGCTATTGTGCAAAACTGAAGGTAACCTTTGGTGAACTACCAAAACTTTCACTTTTCAGTCAAGAAGAAAACTAATGAGAACATCAAATGATTCAAGTTATAACAATATCTCAGCTATCTCCTGGTATTTTGCTCTACTGGGGAAACACAGGAACAACAGGGAAAATCAGTCATCCACTTTTCTCACTGCTTGATGATAAATGGTGTAAAACAACAGACATTAAAATTTAAGATCTATACGACATTTTTAAATATGTTTGATACAGTTTTTTGAGGTAAATCCTTCTGTCATATTTTCCAATAACAATTGCATAAAATGTCTTTGATCTGATTACACTATCACAATTTTTGTATATGGTTATATGTATATAAATACTTTCAGTCCTTACATGAATTATTAAACAAAACAACCAATATAAAATGATGTGTCAGCTAAGATTTTGGACTTAACACTGTCGTGCTTCTTTACTATGAAGAGAAGTGTGCAATACTGAACACAGTGAACTTCATATGTGTCTTGGAGTCAGCCCAACACTTCTTTTTATGAATACTAGAAAATTCAAAAATAAAATAATAAAGAAGAAGCATTCTAAAACTGACCTTATTCCTACTCACTTTTATATCATCCCTATTTACGTGACAGATGGAAAATCATCAAACACTTCATTAACGCTGCCTTTCGGGAGGAATATGTACATGACTCTCATTAAAGCCTATGAATATCTAAGATTGTGTGGATAATATAAAATATTCATGAATTAAGCACAATAGGCTAAAGAACGTTAAACAGTGCTGAGGTCTCTTCTACCTTTGTGAAATACACATATTTGTGTACTTTTTAACATAAATAAATGGAATAGCTGCAGCAAGAAACAAGGCCCTGCATGTGGCAGGGGGGCTGGAGATTCATGATCCTTGAGGTCCCTTCCAACCCTGGCCATTCTGTGATTCTGTGACCAGCACTCTGCCATGAAAGGAGCGGGATTCTCCTTGCAATCTGCAGTGGAGAAAAGATCTACACAGAACATACCTACAGTAAGCAACCTGCTATCAGCTCCAGCAGATATGTCACAGCTGAATACTCACAACCACACATCCCACTCCTGTCCCCAACTAAAGGAAAAATCACTCAAAGCAATTTAAGAAAGAATCACATAGAGAAGCATGAGATTTTATCTGTATTAGATTTTCTTCCCCTAACAATTCTACCCAACGCTCTCCTGAAACTCAAATTCCTTAGTACTACATCACATATAATTTTCCTGTATGAATGAAGTAAAAAATTTGATTATTTTAAATGATCTTAACATACAGCTCTATGTGCAGTTAAGACATTATAAATTAAGTCTATCAATTTACACTCATTTATTCTCAACAAGCTTTTTGAAAAGCACGTAAGAAAAATCTTTATTCGTTCCCAGCCATGATTTACCAGTACTTAAGCTTCACAACCAACTGATGTTGTTGCTGCATCCACAGGAACGAGCTAAAAAGCCTCATCTACTAATGGTAACAATCTACGTTGAACAGGTGGTCTTTCAAAAATTAACTACTCTAAATTTAACTTCTTTGACTCACGTAATTTCACCTCAGTTTGCTACCATTTTCACAGTGCAAAATGTATCGTGTCAAAAGATGAAGTGCAGCCTATATTGGAACAAGAACATTCTGTAAACCAGCAAAATTAAAGATCAGTCACAACCTCAAAATAAAAGATTCTCAATTTTCCTGAGAACTTTTCTGTTCTTTTCACGTTAATTAGGATGCAATAGAATCGCATGCCATGTACAATGCATACATTTCACCACTATTAATAAAGAAAACATTTGAGCCGTAAGAGGAAAAAAAAAAAACAAACAAAAAACCCTCAAGGTTCTGAGCTCACAATTTAACCAAATTACATTAACTAGAAGAATAAAACCTTATTTCCTGGCTGAGGAAAGCATGAATCTTTTGTCTTACAGATACATAGAAGCTTTTGATGAACCAACAGTTCACTGAAGAGGGGGAAAAGATGTCATTTTGTCATCTGAAGCTGTCACCCAGTAGCCACTATACTCTTCTAGCTTCAGGCCAAGCCCAATATGATCATGAACTTTTTACTGATCTATTAATGAAATTACTTTTATTTTATTAGCAGCTTCTATATGAAGTGTTACTAGAGAAATAAACACTACAAGGAAATCACCAGAAATGACTGCTAAAAAGGAAGGATAAAACTAATCAATTTTATGAAGAAAACTATGACCTAAACACTGCACCTTTTTTACTTTTTTTTTTTTTTTCCAATGGTATCTAAATAAATTGCAACTTTTTCACTATTGACCAGGAAAGCCTGAGAATCTCAACAGAACCCCAGTGATCAAGTCTATTCTGTTCATCACTCTTCTCTCAGTTCCAGCGAAGCAAAAGAAAAACAAAATTTCCCACAAAATTAAAACACCAAAACCAGCCCTTCTTCTATCCCCAACAGAACAGCAGCCCCTTCCCACTCACAAAAATCCAGCCAGAATTTACAGCTCTTTATAGCTCTGGGATTTTACGTCAGTTTTAAACATTCATGGCAAAGCACTTGTCTGTTCATGTACTGCTGCTCATGTTTAAAGTTTTCACCATACACAGTTATGGAAAAATTACTGAACAGCAGCTAAACAGAAACTTCTTATGTCAACACTTCCCAGAGAAATGTAACATTTGTTCACAACACAGGCTATTGACCATACATATGAAGAATTCATAGAAACCTGTCAAATCATACCATTTCATTCCCCTTGCTGAATTGTGTGATAGGAAGCTAAACCACTTTTTTCTGTAATTGCTCTCCTATTCAAGCAACTGCTGTGTTTGCAATGAGCACGTTACAGTCAAATAAATATGAGATCCAGGACAACGTACCTTCTATCATCATATTTACACTATAACAATTAAACTATTGTATACTAAACTTGAAATATTCATTTATCAATAAAACACCATAACATACACTAAGACTGTTAGTTTATTCCAACTTACCATTGAAAGGCATTGTAATGGAAGTAGACCAAACCAAGGCCATATAAAAAGGCAGCATTCTGTAAAGAAAGGAAACAGTGTTAGAACCCAGATAAACCAACGTGACTGAACTGCAAGTATTTGCTCACTGTTCAACGTTCAATTTCCACTGCAAGATATGCATATTTTAATTTCATTGAGAAGGATGAAAAAAAAAAAAAAAAAAAAAAAAAAAAAGAATGAGATTTTAGAGATTTAAAAAATAGATTAAATTCTCTGTAAAATTCGAAATTAAATTCTGAATTTAAATGTAGAAATTTATCTCTGGAGGAACAGTAATAATAATATGCAAGCACTTTTACATCAAGAGAAACTAATGTGCTTTGTTCTATTTGCAGAACAGCAGGGAAGCAAATGATGGTCTGGCAATTTAATACAACAAAAATGTTTTATAACCTAAGAGCATGCCACAGTTACAGTAATTTACATTCATGTAAAACAAAGATGCACACTTTAATTTCATTGTCTAGAATAGAAGCTGAGTTAAAAGAATCTGAAAACATGCTCAAGGAATTTCTACTTTTTATCAGTATTAAAAACTCAGACCATCAGCTTCAAATTGAGAGCATTAATGATGTTTCTTCATCATTAATCAGATTTCTATCTTCGATTTTCTTATTTTGTAGTGAAAAGAAAAAAAAAAGGACCACTCTTGTACTAAAAACTCATTTTCCACTTTTTTTTCCAAAGTGACATTACTAAGGAGTTCAATGAATGTTTACAAATAATTATTACATATTTCTTAAAATATGGAAAAATAAACAAATTGCTTTTTCTTTTGATAAAATGTTATGTCACAGTATAATTATTTAGCAGCTATTCTATTATTTATAGAAGAAAACACATATGCTGCCTATGTCCCAATTTTAGTTTTTTCTTCTGTGTGTTGCCATTTTTGAGAGACCATGAATACATCTAAAATGAAAGGGCTCTGACACATGAACACAGATGAAATTTCTACTGTTGAAGATTCTTCTTCAAGATAATCCCTATTCCACTCCTATTCATTTCTTCAACAATTTTATTTTTATGGAATGTCAGAAAAAGAATCTGAACAATGTGTTAGACCAAACTGAAATACATAAGACAACCAATTTTCTCCTAGAAAATAAGTGGTAACCAAAACCTAATTTGAAGAGCAACCATTCATCAGAAACAGAACCTAGTATTATGATTGCAGTATATCTCGTTTGTATTTTCTAAATGCAAATTATAAACAGGAGAATCGCCAAAGATGCATTCATGAATACAGTTGGAACACAGCTTCAGAAATGGATAGATTCCAAGAAAATGTTTTGGAATGACCAGATACTATGACTATCAGGGCACTGTAGAAAGGGGGTGGAAAGGGAAGCACATAAACAATAAAAGATGATACGCTAACATTAGCATAAAAATTACATTCCAGTTCCTGTGCCCAAAAGCACAACACGGACATTATAAACACACAGATCTTAAATTCCACACCCCATGTATTTCCAGTTACCCAAATGTGTTCTGGCAACAACAGACTAGGAATAACGAAAAGCTCAGAAATGGAACATACATAACGTCTTGGTCTAGAAGTCTTTTTAAACAAAGTAAGACAGTAAGAGATATTTTCACATGTGCAACTTGGAAACCTGCAAAATAGAATACATGCATAGCAACCTCTATCCTGTTCAGTTCAGGCTTCTTTGCAGAAGAGAAGATAACAAAATTGTGCAATGTTATTTGGAGATTCAATAACTGTGATTCAAGACCAGATCACCATACCAGTTGAGAAGAATAATCGAAAAATCCTTAATCACTACTGCATCACAACTGCAAAATTCATCACAACAGAAAAATATGCCAGATAACTAAAACTTCTTCAGCCTTCGAAGAATTTAATTTCCTCTTCTGACATCTATTAAAGTTCACAATACAGGTGAGTTATACACTCAGAATATTGATGTATCTGTTATTTTGATTCAAAGTGCTAACAATACTCAACACTGAAAGCATATGACAAGACCAAAATACAAGTGATTTGTCCAAATGCACTAATATATCAAATTTACGTAAAGCTTTCAAGTTGTTCCTGCCCCAGTAAAATAAAAATCCACTATTACTGTTCTTCCCTGGTTCTGTGGCTGGTTTTCTAATTTTTCTCATTCTTATTTTCGTTTGGCCTTACAAAGCATTTGAAGCTGACCTTATAAGCTAAGATACCACTGTCTTCTCAATATAAATCAGGGTAAGATTTAAGATTTCATAATAATTTACTGTCAACATAAAGATGCAAACTCCAAAAATTTCAGAATGAAAATTCTGAAAAGTCAGCATGAAGCACATTCATGTGTTCTGAAAGACTATAGCTCTAATTTAATGTAACACCATAAGCACTGCTTGTTCATTATTTATTATGTTTGCCCTAATAATTAAAAAATACTTTTTAATCTGGTCTTGAAGCTGGATGGGACTTTCGCAAGGACTAGAAGATAACACAGTGGCTCATGTAAGCAGTAGTTTCCCACCACACATTCAAGGTGAGTTACACATGAAGTTCATTACTTCAGTAACTGACTTTTCTGCCTCTATTGCAGAATACCTTCAAGCTCAACATGCAGCCAAGTCTAATTGACAACAGCCAATATCAAAGGCTAGAACAGTTTACCGCTTATAAGGACCAAGAAAGATCATGAGGGTTGCATTGCAACACGAAATTTCCATCAAAAAATGTGCTTTTCCTTGACATTGTAAGATTCTGTGACTCTGCATACTCTGACTTATGAAATCTGTTCTCATTTGACTCTGTCACTTGCTTTTGAATAGAAGTATATCACAAAAAGTATATGTCCTGTTTTTTTCTGTGAACTTTTTTTGCTTAATCTAATGCTTGCTATTCAAGACCTTGCCATAAATAGCTGCTGATGGGAAATAAAAACCAACACTTTTTTTCCTCCAAACATTTTTCCATAAAGAACAGAAACCTATGGAAAAGACTGTAAGAAGATAATTTTCAAGTTCCTCAGAATCTTCACAATTCCTAAGAACTCATTCTAAAATTCATTCTTCGGCTTTGAATATCTAAACGTAATTTTTATGTTATCAGATCCCTGTCTTCACAGAAATCTACAAGAAAGTTGCAAGCTGAGACACACTGTACCTCAAAATTGAATCTGAACGTCAGTCTCTTTCGTTCTACAGCAATGCCGCTAAAAATCATACAAATTGGAAATGCAGTTTCCAAGTTGGTGTCATTTGCATTTTCTACAACCCATTCAGAATGTTAAAATGTTTCATGCCAACCACTAGATGGCTCAAATATCTCTTTCCATTTTTATAAGCTTATGTACTTAAAAAAGACTGTAGGGCTTATATTGTGGATTTTGCTACTCACAAGTACTCCTTTAAACTGAGCAAAATTTCAGTTACATTTAACAACATACATTTTACTGACAGGTAACTCAGGAGACAAAAAGTTATCTTCTGTACCATTCTATGTAACTGAATTTCTGACATGAAAAATCTATTTATTGGAGACCCATGTCAACTGAAGGCACTGAATGGGTTTTGAAATGACTGCACAGCATAACTATCATTCTGTGAAATCATAAGAGAATTTGAGAAGAAGAATATATCTACCAGCTGATACCAAATCAGTTATTTAATTACCAGATTAAACAGTGAAATATAGCATGGACTTCCTAAAGCAGAATTTCTGTGGATATTTTTGTTGCGGAAAATGATCAAAAGACATGTTAAAAAGAGGATGCTTCCCACAAAACTTCTTAATCTTAACAGCGTCATTCCAGTGTGACATCCCAGAGAACGAGCTCTCGTTCTCTCCAACATGGCATAAATTACTCTGGAAGAGGCCTGGCTGTGATATTCCCTGCCTGTAAGAGCAGGCTTTCCAGTGTCAGTTGTCTTCTCTGAGGAGTTAGTTTTATTTTACAGAAGAGTTCAGCTGGAAGAGACTATCAAAGATCACTGAGTTCAGCAGCCCGACCACTTCAGCGCTAACCAGAAGTTGAAGCATATTACTGGGGGCACTGTACAAATGCCTTCTGAGCAATGACAAGAATGGAACATCAACCACCCCTCTAGGAAGACATTCCAATCTTTGACCACCCACACAGCAAAGAAAATTTACTTCATTTTTTTAATGCCTGCAATTAAATAATAAATTTTATGAAAATTCTATTGTTGTAGATAATTTCATCTTCAGACTGCATTTAAAAAAATCAGCCTTTCTTGAAAATCTTACTTTAAATAAGAGGTCATCAGATACAAGTTATGTTAGAGAGGAATTTCTTCAAGAAAAATGAAAAACGACATACAAAATATAAGTTTAAGTAGTTCTCTAAAGTAATGGAAAACTGTTGTTTATTAAGTTGTTAGGGGAAGAATTACACTTAGATCTAGAAAATTAAATCTAATTGACTTACATTAGTGTCTTATGGAAAAAATGTAAATGTGGGGCTGGTATTAAATTTTCATTCATTTTTAATGAATTTGAAGTGAAAGCGAATAGATGTATTCCCAAACAGAAAACAAATTGAATGCTAGAAATTTGTAAGTGCTTAAAAAACCATCTTGATTACAGAGCTATGATAGCAGGTAGAATTTCATGTGGTACTTTGAGCTTTTTAAACCGAAGCATTATTTAAAATTATTTGTCTACAGCACCTCATGTAAACATAGTTGATGTCTGAGAAGTTAATCTGAGTATCAAAAGAAGAAAACAGTACAGAAAGTTTAGACACCAAAAAAACCCAACAGCAATTTAATAAAGATACAGAAGACTATACTGAGAAATATGTTACTGTATGAAAGGTAAGCATAGTTCAACTTGACATTTTGCTAGAATCTAATCATCCTCTTTTTAAACACAGAACAGCAGAATGAAATTGCAGATAAATGATAGAAGCGTATATGAGAATTGCTTCCAGAGGAGACAGGAAGGAGGATGAATCAACATATATGATGTAAAAAGAAATTCTGCGAACTTCTAGTACAAGAATAAGAGGGTATCCACTCACATCAAGGCGAA